CCCTGGGCCCCTCCCCAGAGAATCCGTTCCTACCGATGATTGACACCCCAGCGTGGTACAAATTGCATATTAAACCACTGGGATTTATTTATTTTTTTTAAACAATGTGCGCCCAGGGTCTGCTGCAAATTCCCCTGTGGCCAATCGTCTCGCTCGCTTAGGCAAAGGCGGAGCTGCGCTCTCCCGGCGGTGCCTCCAATTAAACCATCATCCTGGGGAGGGGGCGGGCTGCCACACCCAATATACAGAGGTACGGCAGATGGGAGATGACAGGCAGAGCGAGCATCACCCGCCACCAAGGGATGTAACACGATTAGGGGAGGCCAAAGCTGTCAATCAGAGGACGAAACATGCTTAACAAGCAGCTACAGAGGGATCTCGCTCTATAAGGAGCTAAACACTCACATTTATGTAACATACGAACAAGCCAATTTGTGCCTCTAAATGCCCCATTGTGTGTGGGGGTCCAGCGAAGGACCGCTTACAATCTAGTGACAGACTCTAGGCTCACTGTAACCCAGGACTAGATAAGCACTTATGCAAAATGAATGGATGACATGATTCACCTAAGTCATTCCTCCGATGGAGCCCCCATTTATTCACCAGCGTTGAACCGCCGGCATTATTGGCTGGTAAGATGTCCCGGACCGTTTGCCTCCCCTGCAGAGCGACACGCTGACATAACAGGACCGTGAGTGATGCGACGCCCCCCCTCCACCTCCCTTGAGAAGGAGCCCGGGTTGGTCATGGCGTCCCTGGCAGACACCGGCTTGGGGAGACGGCCTCCTCCCCACGGCGCCAAACATCCGGCAAGCAGATGTTTCCAGGCAGCACAATGCCTGCTCACACGACCAACAGAGGACCGTGGGGTCCGGGAGGGCCCGCCGTCACTGGGGGGGGGGGGGTTGTTTAGTTGACATACTCCAATCCCCCCCCGCTTGCAGCACTACCACCATTCACCGCTACACAGGTAATTAACGGCTCCCGTTCCACCATGCAAAGCTTCAGGTTACTTCCTCACGTGACCCAGCCATCGACCGAGCCAAGTTTATGGGGATCGCTGAAGAGAGTCATGTGACCTGGCTGCCAGGAGACCGCCTTCGAGACCTCCCGGCATAGAGTTACCTGCCACCGTAACAACTGCATCCCTTCCACCTGAAGTGTAAGCGAAGTCTGACAGAATAGCGTCTGTATGTAGTGAACTGAGGTTACTGTTAGCATACTTTAATGTATTTATTTCCTCGTCCACAGGGCCACACGGCACAAGAATGGCATTCTGTAAGCCTCCCAATAAAGGAAAATGGTAACTGAATGGAAACAGGCTAATTAACACACCATGCTTTGAAATGAACTTTTTTGGTAAGGTGGGCACTAAGCGGGCACTCCTGTGGGCTGTGGGCATTTCCAGACCGTTACTCGCGGTACAGACATTGACAGGGCACCGTTGGTGGCATCAGTCGTTAGGCAGTATGCCCTGTTCAGCGTTCGTTAAAGGCGATCTCACACCCGGCGAGGAATGTTAAGAATCAGCAGAAATAAAGTGGATACATCTTAAGTGCGGATCCATCGATGGGACGGGCTGGGGGGGGTGGGGGGGGACGGGACGCAGGTCATGCCGCGATGCACTAGCTGTGATGCCACGCTTTCACTCTGAAGCAGCTGCACATCAGTGTTCAGCACCTCCCTCTCCACCTGTGCACCGCTGCTCTGACACAGACCAAATGAGACCCGACGAGCCGTAACCGCACAGGGATCACCATCACGCTTGTCAACATGCCCGCCTAACGGGGATAAAGCTGTGATCTAATTAAATGTCCAATTAGCCTGCAACGAGCCATTAGCCCACCAGCTACGGCAGGCGGCTGATGGAAAACAATCGGACAGACAAAAAAAAAAAACAAACAAGAAATCAATGTTTCGGGGGGGGGGGGGGGGTTTACTCGAGGGGCAATGCCGTGCCGTCACGCCTCAGCGCATCCGCGTGGCGGAAAGGACATCGACAGAGAAGCACTCAGTACCCTGTAGGAACAGGAGCAGGACACATTAACTGAAATAAACACGAGGAACCCAAACCACCTAAAAACCAGATCCTCTTAATACTAATACTGGGATTAAATGAAACACTGAGCATAATTAATTCGTTCCTACTTACCGCGAGGGTTGTGTATTGTACACAAAGCAGTATTTGCTGATTAAATCCCATTTAGCAGTCTTACAGTTAACACGTGTTACACGATTAATAATTATGGGCTATACAGTTAATACACTGCACGAGTATGGATCGTAAATTACCGCTCTGGGTTTTAATATCTGTTCAGCCTCTTACTGGGGGTTGCAGTTCGGCAATCCATCCCATCCCCCGTCCACCCCCATCTCTGGCTGCACGCAGAGCGAAACACAGATGCATCTTCACTGTAGAATCACCTCATCTGTGCACTTGACCTGGTCCACACGCCTGCCGTGAATCAGACGGTGTGGACTGAGCCAGCAGACTGCGTGTGACATCAACACCGCCGCCCTGTCCCGCCGCTCGCAGGATGAGTGTCGCGGCCCGCGTCACCATGTCAACCGTGACTGCGGCTCGCAGCGGGGAATGCGCCGCAGGTCCTCGCCCTGCCAGGCGGCACGGGGAGGGTAGGCGGCCTGACAGAAGGCACCCGGTGGATTATCCGCAAAGCACTGGCAGCCGGGACAGACGGACAGACGGACACACGGCCTGCTGCAGCACCAAGGCAAAGAAATACAGCTTTAAGAAAAGCAATAAGAAATCCCGCGGGTCAGGCAGCAGGAGGACTTCAGATCTGCCACCACCTCAGGTCTCCCACCTCTAGGGCCGGGGGTCTGAAGTCTTTGCGTGACCACCTTCTAAATTCCACACACCCATGCACAGACAGACAGACAGACAGACGCACAGACAGACAGACACAGCTTTCCACCTGGAAGCCTGCCCCCCCCTCCCAAAACCATGTGTCAGCATCCTTCACTTCTCGACACAACCTCCCAATCACCACAACCCAGGCCAGGTGACAGACGAAGACAAAAACTATAACCATAACAACAACAATAGTAATATCATCCATCTATCTGTGGGCGGCACAGCAGGAAGGTCCTGGGTTGGGTCCCCGGGTCGGGCCAGGGGCCTTTCTGTGTGGGATTCGCATGCTCGCCCTGTGTTTGCGTGGGTTTCTGCCAGGGGCTCCGGTTACCTCCCACAGTCCAAAAGTGTGCAGCATAGGTTAACTGGCGACTCTAAGTTGTGTGTGTGTGTGTGTGTGTGTGTTGGCGCCTGCCCAGGGTTGGTTCCCGCCTGCGCCCCTTGTTCCTGGCCTAGGTTCTGCCCCCCCCCCCCGTGACCCCAGTTGGGATTAAGCAGCATCTGGTGATGGATGGATGGTATCTATCTATCTTACATAGTTGCTTATCCAGTGGGTTACTGTGAGTGCAGAAGATTAGGCAAGGTGGCATATTATTGTTATAATCACTATTATTATTATTATTATTATTATTATTATTATTATGATGTGCTCAAAATTGGAAACTTTCAGCATAACATTTCGAGCTGTATATCTGTGTACTTGAATCCCCGTAAGCATCCTGCTTGCTAGTTACCTGCACTGATATGATGCGAGATGTACGCCGGCCCCCTTCCGCCCCACCTGATACAGCCATGCTGAATGCCACAGTGTGAGGGAATCCCAAGCCTCACCGCAGTACCACGGTACCCTGCTTACCATGGCTGGGGCGGCTAGATGGCCAGTCAAGCAGGAGCTGTCACACTCTCCCCGTCTCTCCTCACTCGGCCTGACCGGGTCTTGGGGAAGCTGGCGATCTAGAGGAGGCGATGGGAAAGCGTAAGCATCATCTGGGACATCTCGAGCTGGGCTCCCTGATCCGGCAGGCTCTTTAAGACCTGACCCAAATCCCCAAATTTCACTCTGATTTATAAGTAACACCAGGCCGGTGGGTTTGGCAACGTTTCTGCTGATGCCTGCGGAACTAAAACACCAGCTCACATGTCCGGTCAACCTGCTTCACCGGATCTGTTACTGAATGTAAAAGGTCAGATCTGCGAGTTCACATTGCCCAGTTATCCAAGACCAGTCAGTCTGCTCTATAGTGATATTTTGTCAGAGGCAAACACTTTCTCTATTATTAAACGTTGAAGTATCGGGCCAGTTTGTCGTCCTGAAGAGCGGTGCGCACCTTGATGTCTCAACTCCTTCAGCAATTCAGTACATTGATTCTGTAAACTGTGAGAAACCAGCGAGTTAACGAATATTTTTAGATAAGTCGCCACCAAGTTTTCATGCTCTACATTATTTAGTTAGATGACAATGGGTTGACCTGCACAAAAAGATTCAGCCAGGATCAATGCTATAACTATCCAGTGATTTGGGGTAAATCTGGTTCATTTCACGATAAGTGCTACCCCTGGAGATCCCCTGTTTAACTTAATAAGTTTCCAATTCTGCCACGCTAAGTTCTGGCAAACTGAGAGAACTGCAAACGACGGGGCAAACGATGAAAAAAATGTGGTAACTATTTTGGTAATTAGCTAGCTTACAACAAAACGTCATACTGCTTGGGTAGCCCACTATTAGCTCGCAGGCTAAAACATAATGTAACCCACCTTATATTCCAGAGAAAAATAAAAGTTAAGAGATCCATGGTTGCACTGTGTATCCACCACCACGAGAAAACTCCACGCAAATAAAACCTTTCGCAATCTTCCGGGTTTTCTTTCAGTGCGGAGTCGCATATAAACACAGACTGAACTATGGGATGTATAGTTCGGTATAAATTATTTTGCGGGACGGAGAGCACATCTGGGTCCCGAAGCAATTGAAACTACAAGTCCCGCTTTCCTTTAATGTTGGGTGTTGACGCTCGTCGACAAGTGCGACCATGGTATTTGTAGTTCAAAGTCTTCTTACATATTGCGGAAATCGTCCCCTTTTAACTACAACTACCACAAACCCCGGTACGATTACCCGGAAATTTCGCTCCAGGTTGCCGTGGTCCCGATCTGAGAGATTCCCGTTCGTTTCCCGCACCAGAAGAGAGGAGGTGGTACCGAGAGAGAGACCAGGAAGATTAAGCAACATCGTAACCTCAAACAACTTCACTATACAATGAAATTATCTGCAGTTATACCCTCTCTAGAAATCCACTGCTTCACGATACTCTTGGTAAGCAGTAATATCCGAGACCTGGCAGAACCTTGAAACGCTTCGTTCTTCGGCCGCCTTAAGTGCATCTATGGTTCCTGCGTGTGTGGCCGGCTGAGAGCAGCTAGCCGACGCTGCACGGTGATCTTCTATATCTGTAATCAAGCAGAAAGACAATTACAAGTAATGTGACTTGTACAGTCCTCCAAATGAAATGGCTATCTGTCGTAATTTTGTGGCAACATATATTTGAAGCTGCTGTGGGTTGACATAAATATCCAGGTGAAAGTTTAGCAGCTAATTGTATGCATTTCAGGCCAGATAGCAAACCGGGTGTTCAGGAGGGCATATCGTTATTTATCAAGTACTTTGTTTAACCGCCTACACAGCTAAAATATTGCTATGAAGTAATGATTATGAACAGTGTACCGGGTATATAACCCAGAGACAACGCTAGGTAATGCAACTAGCGAAAGCTCTCTCTAATGTCAACAGCAATTATCTCTGTACTTTTGATGGCAATTTGATGTCTGATCCCGAAGTTCATACTCAACTTTCTGCTTATATTTAAGGAAAGTTAACTTTGGAGATAGTTTTAACTGGCCTTTTAGTATACCCCTTGGTGTTGACTTCTGAAATGTACCGCATGGTTAACGTTTGATTCAGGAAGTATATTATACTGTGTATACTTAATCGTTTCCCCCCAGTGTGCTGGGTGCACGGCAGTTGCTCGGCCACACACGGCTGCACTTAAACGTGGCTTTTAGCTCCGACATGGTCGTCCTGAGAGTGGGCGCCGGCCTCCCGGTCGCTGCCGAAATCGGAGAAGCCGGTTGGTGGATTCCTCTGTTGTGGCTCGTTTCTATTGGCTGACAACCCGGAAGTGAGCAGACACCTTTGCGGCGTGAGGCCGCGGCCTAGGCACTCCGCTGTTTGTGTCGCGCGAGGAGGGGAGGGCGACTCGGGCAGATTTCATGTGTTTATCAAATATATGTTTCTCTCTCCTCCTCGCTTCATAAGAATCGACTTTACGAGAGGAGTTTGCCACATAGCCCACGGGCCGATGACTTGGAGGGTGTCCTTTCTGCTGATTAGTTTCGTCATATTTTAGGTTTCAGGGGGAGAAAGCAAGTGAAATTAAAGCATTAAATTACGTGCAACCTCGTCATTGATTCAGTAAAGAGTGATATGGATACTGTTGGCGTGTTCAAATGACATGCTTATTGGTTTATTTAGCCCTATATGGTTATTTATTTAAAGGTATTATATCAGTTGAATTGCTGAAAGCTCTCTTGTAGGTGCTGAAATGGTTCAGTATGAAATAGTATTTAGCCCGAGTTTCATCTTCATTGTTGAGGATGTATTCTGTTATGTTCCCGCCAATGAGACTCCTGTGTTAGGATCACTGCTTTGCTAAAGCCCCATTTTTTACAGTAGAGGCAATACTGAAAATTGAAAATGTACTTGTTTGAACTTTGAAAACTTTGTAAAAGGGGAAGCTGATGACTCATATGATCTTCCAGCGTCCATTCAGTGGAATCATTTTTCCCTTACTGGGAAAATCCTTGTCTAGCTAACCTTGACCTGGCTTTTGAAAGTGGTATGATTTGAAATTCCTGCCTCTCAGGTGTATCAGGCTGAACAAGCCGCTGTTAGAAAGCGCCCATTTTGGGTCAGTTGGCAAATCTGGGTGATGAAGTCCTGACTGTAGAATGGGTGCAGGGTTACAGGCCTGTAATGGGGGCTTGTTTTGTAGTGTGTGATTTACAGCCAGGTGGTTCATGATTCCAGGCTGGGGATTGGATGTGAGCTGCTGGCGGGAGGAACATGCTTCTGGGAAGGAGGCGGCACCAGTAAGCCGAAGCATCTCGGCACGCTGGGCTGGATGTGCCATGTGGGTTTAGCTCAGCCCAGTTAGAACGTGAGCAGAATTCAGCTGGGTGCCGTTCTGGGGGCTGTCCGGTCCCTGCATTGCGTGATCTGCTTCGGCACCTGTGGCCATGTTGTCGTGTCACACGCGTCCCTGTGACAGCTTGGACGTAACTGGGAGTTTGCAGCGCTTGCACATCATTACATATGTAAAAGTATTTCCCCCAGACTCATGTCAGCAGGTTGCCGCAGTTGAAATGGAAAAAGCAGCGAGTCTCCGGTGTTCGTCTTCAGTAACGGGATTAGTGTGTTCGAGCTTGTGGTCCTTGGTGTCCAGTAACCTTCTTTTTAAACACCCTTGATTTAAGGGTGTCAGACGCTCTGTCTGAGCAGCAGCCATGTCTAAAGGTGGCAGCTGACTACTAAATGGGGGGGGGGGGGGGGTCATTTGCATGTTTCCAAGTTAATTTAATTTAGCCATCCAGACTATCGTCTAGGGCAATGTTTCTCAGCCCAGTAGGCAGAGACCCCAAGACAGTCCATGTTTTTGCTCCTTCCTAACATGGGTTGCCTGGGGGGGTCCGAGGACCCTTTTGAGAAACATTGATCTAGAGTGAGAAACATTGATCTAGAGTATATCTTTGCATCTGGCTGTTTCTCCAGTTTTATTCGGCTCAGTTACAGCTCCTCCTGAAGGTATGACAGGGGTGGTTCATTCGCACAGACACCCCTTAACCTTACTATGCCTGGAATTTAGCAGTGGAGCAAGCATCTGCTTTGCTTTGGGTGGATGGACCCTGCATTGTGAGCTTATGTTGTGGTCCCTGTAAAAATGAAGGTCTTGGTGATAATTCTGGGCCATCTGACCAATGGAAGAAATGCTACTGAAGTAATGACAGCCAGCTACATTAAGCTACTGGTGAAAATTGTCTAGCAGCGTGACACTACGCATAAGTTTTTTGTGCCCTGCTGTAATATTTTGCTCTTCATGCCTCCGCACCTAGTTTTGACTCCATTGTTTGGGGTGTGTCAGACCAGTTAAACTCTCTCTGTAAGTGAGACACAACCGGGTAGCCAGAACGTTTGGGGTGAAGGCCTTGAGGTGACCTATTTCATGCCTTTGTACCTTTAACCGGCAGAATCATGTTTCCCCTGCTTCAGCAGGTTGAACCTTGGCCAGGTAGCCGGAGGGTGTAATTTAATTAGTCATGTGGTGGGTTGGGGGAGCCTCTGCCCGCCTCCGTCCGTCCGTCTGTCCCTCCGTCTGCCTGCCCGCCCCCGTGCTGCTCGTTCCCTCCCTGTGTATGCTTTGCTCATCGCTGCTCTTGCAGGTGGGATCCACCAGGACCCGATCCTGTGTGTGTGTGTGTGTGTGTGTGTGTGTGGGTGTGTGGGTGTTTGGGTTGGCCAAACATCTGTGACTGCTGAACCTGCTTCCTGCAGGGCGTGTTAAGCTTCCCGAGGTACCGGTTAGGTTTGCAGCTTGGGAGTTTCTACAGTGACTGCGCAGCTGGTGTCGGCAGGACCTTCAGTGAAAAGTGCTGCTGCTCTGAAGCATGTCGCTGTGCCCGTTCGGCCGGTCCCTTTCCCCCCTCCCTGGCTGTGTGGTGGAGGGGCGTTTTCACCCGCTGTGTCATGCAGCTTGTCGGGCGCCTCCTCTGTGCTGTGTCTCCTAGTAGTACCTGGACCAGCAGGCCACCCGTCACCTCTCAAAGCATGCGCCACCAGCCAACTGCAGCTATTTTCAGTCCCCCCCCCCCGGTGTACTGTGGGATTGAAATAAGAGCTGCCCAAAACATGTGTATGTAACTGCCTCTGTGTGCCAGAAAGGGGCTTAGTGTCACCATTTCAGGGCTGTGTAGGGCCTGGGGCAGAGATTAGGGCCAGCTGGCTGTAGCCGGGTGACTCGGCCGTGTTTGATTAACATGGTAAACGTGACCTTGTACCTTTAAACGTAAGATCCTGCTCAGTTGAACGCTGCATAGGGGCTGTAAAAGTTATCTGTAAACAAATCAGTCATTTTAACCCGTGAACGATGGTTAAAGCCCAATGATGCTTTTCCACTGCCACCAAGAACCGAGCCCTACCGCAAACTGCCGGTTTTCCATTGCAGAGTATGCGAGCCATACCCGAGCTGGTGCCAGCAGGGCTGAAAACGTACCAAACCGAGCTGGTTGTGGCACCACCATCTGATTGGTCAAAACCGGTCAAGATACCGGTATTCTGCCCCTGGCTGGATCTGTGTTGTAACTAGTCTTTCTTTGCGGTACGGCCCGGTTCCTGTATGCCAGTGGAAAAGCGGCACAAGAAATTGTTCTGTTACACCTCTTAACAAGATTCTTCTCGTTGTTGCTTTTCTGTGTAAGCAGAGAAAATTGCTTTTAAACTGAGCCTTACTTTGATGACGTCAGTGACTTTAATAGGAATCATGTCGCGTACAGTCCTGTTAGGAGCAGTAAACATTTTTTAACTGAATTGAATGAGGACACCCCCCCCCCCAAACACACTGAAATTGCACTTTTGTTACCTGGCTGCTTCCTCTCATCTGCACCCTGCGAAATTCCTGCCTCTGACTTCCTGTCCTCACCTACCAATGAGCTCTCGCCCGGTTTGCGGTAAGCCGGCTTGGTGCTGGGCGGGCGGGGGGGGGGGGGGGGGGGGGGGGGGCTGCATCAGGCACCTGTGGTGCCAGGTCCTCTTGCCAATGCCGGTTCAGTAACAGTTACAGTATGTTTGCCTCAGTACAGCATGTTTGCAAGAATTGAGGGACAAAGCAGTTTGCGGCAGAACCAGGATCAAGATTTTGAAATGTCAGATTTGCTAAGAATCCTAAACTGGGAACTGACTCTCTGACTCTAAGTGACAGTCAAGCAGCTCCTGGTAAATGCTGTAAAAATATCACGAGCACAATATGTTTTTCTTTTTTGTCTGTCAGGCAAAGCTGAGACGGACGGTTTTGTGGTCCATCACCTGTGGCAGATGTTAAGCCGTCGCCTCTTAGCAAGTTAACACGCTGTCAGCAGAATGAAGAGTGTAAGGCAGTAACAAAAAACACAAGCAGACCCTGGCATCCAAGGTCTTTTTCACATGCCTTAGAATTTAACACGTAAAATACTTGCTTAAATATCTGGTCGCTTTTTGATGCGTTTTGTTACGCAGAAAAATTCCAAGATTCCATTTCACTATATTACTCCTCTTAATTTTTCCTTGAACGATTGTCTTTTCCCATCTCTGTGGAGACATTTACATTTATTCATGTACCAGATGCTCTTGTCCAGAGTGATGTGTAGGTGAGGCAGGCAGTACATTAGAATCCTGCTGCTGTCGTGGAGCCTCTGCTCAGGTACCGGGGCAGCTAGGCTCAGCTTCCGATGGCTGGCAGGTAACCAGCTTAAATTTTCTGCAGCTCTTGTTGAACGAAAGGGCCACGAGGACTAGAGAAGCACAATATAGAAGAATAGTGTGTCCAGTGAGGCCAAAGGTCCATAACTAAGGCGTAGGTGCAGATGGAGAGCAGGGCGGCGGTCGGATAAGCCGGCGGAGGTGCGCGGATGTGGAGAGGCAGGCCTTCGCCACCCGCATGGAGAAAGGCTGCTTTTATTGGATCTGACTCTCACCTGACCTGGGCTGTGTGACCTATGGCAGCGGGCTGATGGCGAGACCCGGTACTTTGCGCTGTCCTTTAATGCTCAGTTATATCCAGTATTGCAGCAACATCGTCTAGCATACGAGAAGCTAATAAGACTATTCATTGACCAGAAGTGAGATTTTGATGTTGGTGGTCTTTGTACGATTCATGTACCATGTATGTTCTTGGCCACAATGTGGTTCTGGAGCTGAAGTGGGAAGGGCAGCCTCTGAAGGGCCCTGCTGATCGCTGTGGACGTTCCGGCAGGTGGGGCTGCGGTATCGGTTATCAGGGTGAGACGTTTACAGTAAGCTGCACGCGCAGTACCTGAAATATTGCTTACCGGAATGTTGCCGTCATAACTGGAGATGCGACGGAGGCTTCTGGAAGATTACACTACCACCCCCCCCCCTCCGCCCCACCTGCATTTCAGCTTCTAAATGGCTTTTGGGTTGCTTTTAACCTCCAGGTGTGGTTCGACATTTATGTACCATGTCCCCCTGCGCTGCCTCGTCTCTTGCGACCCATGCAGCGCCCTCTGGGGACTGGAGGCTGCAGTTGCACCTTGATTGACAGCCTGCCAGCTCCACAGCACCTGGGGGACGTATGAGCGCACGTGGGTGTCACGGGCCCCCATTTTTGAATGCGTGTCCCAGGTTAGTCTAACAGTCCCTGGTGAGCACCCCCCCCCCCCACCCCGGCCTAAAAGGGGTGCTAAGAATGGGCTTAAACTGAGTGGGGGAAAAAATAACAAAGTAAGTTTGCTGCAGAGCGTGAAGGGCGCGGGACTGAGTAAAGGCTGCTCGTCACAGGATAAGCGGTCGAGGTTTAGAATCACTGTGGTTTCGGCTTTTCCTGAGGGGCTCTCTGGTGCCCCCACACTGCAGTATCCAGTTCCTGCTGCTGCAGAACAATCCTGTTCTAAATTAGTTATTTCATGTTAGTTACTGTTGTTACTGTGTTGGTGTGAGATCTACACAGTTTTTTTTCTTTTTCTAATGTGTTATGCCATTGAAACCAGTCAATACAATAAGGCCTTTCTATCAGAATCACTTCTCAGTGTGCTCATTGCTGTCCTGGTCACATGGAGCCCACGGTTTCTCCCTATTGGCTGATCTGATTGCTGTCCTGGTTACATGGGGCCCACGGTGTCTCCCTATTGGCTGATCTGATTGCTGTCCTGGTTACATGGGGCCCACGGTGTCTCCCTATTGGCTGATCTGATTGCTGTCCTGGTTACATGGGGCCCACGGTGTCTCCCTATTGGCTGATCTGATTGCTGTCCTGGTTACATGGGGCCCACGGTGTCTCCCTATTGGCTGATCTCTGGCACTTCTCTCCCTCTTTAGGTTACTTGGTTTAGCACTCCGGTTAGAAGTGAAGTAATCACTCTGGATGGGGGTAACATCGATGACATCTTGAGTAAGTGTTGAGGCATGCATCCTAGGAGGCTGATGTTAGGGTGATGGGTGGTGTTAGGACAGCCCTAACATCTGAAGCCACTGAATGTCATTCCTTCCGTTTCTTCAATGCAGTTCGGCGTTACACCCTCATTTGAACTGACATCTTTGTTGTTCTTTCAGACAATGCTGGTGTGGCTTTAGTGAATTTTTATGCAGACTGGTGAGTACTAACCTCCTCACATCCTCACCGTGGAAGTTAACGCATCCTGCGGTTATTTTCCCCGGATTGTCTTTGTTTGCCGTTTAAAATCTCACTGGGAAGCTACAGGTTTCCACTTAACAAGAAAACGACTTGTGTGATTTCACGTAGTTCCCAGCTTCAGCTCAGAGGTGCAGTTCCGCCCTGTGGAGTGCCGGGGGGGGGCGGGGCTTTAGTTACAGCGAACCCACGTGACCAAGAGTGACCTTGCCTGACCCTGAATGACCATGCGTGGCCCTCTTGTGACCCCGTGTCCAGGTGCAGATTCAGCCAAATGCTGCACCCCATCTTTGAGGAGGGCTCTAATGTGGTTCGAGAAGAGTTTCCCGATACCAAGCAGGTGGTGTTTGCTCGTGTGGACTGCGATCAGCACTGTGAGTCCTCACGCACACACACACCGGCGCGGCCCGCGGCCGCACTCCGCCTTTGAGATAAAGGAAATTAAACAGAATTATTGACGATCTGCGAGGCGTTTGATGGCTAATGACAAAACGGCGTCCCCTCTGAAGGCCCCAGAGGTTTAAAGCCCCCCAGGGATGGGCCAGGAGCGGGGGGTGGGTGGTGGGGCTTAAACACCTGCCGTAATGAGGAAAGAAATTACTTTAGAGCGTTTTGAACCCTCTGCTGGGGGTGGCCTTTCATCGCTGTGGTGCGTGAGCTCGGTGATGTCAGGCAGGCAGCGGGCAGGTTCTCTGCAGGCTTCTTGTGGGGGACACGGCAGACTGCTGGCCCCGTTGCCCCGGCGACACCCATTTGCAGCAGCCTTAATTAGTCATATCTGATACTCAGCTGCCTCACACAGCTTGCTCATTTTCTTGACAGTTTTCCAGGTTTTTTTTTTTTTTGGGAGGGTGGCAAGGGGGGTTGGTCACTCCTCTTATTCACATAATCTGTATTACTGGGTATAATGGGGACCAGACTCTGCAGAACTTGCTGGTGGGTTCTTGCAGGTACCATGAGCCTCTGATTTTTTTTTTTTGACCGAAAAAAAACGCTAAATGCCGTCCATCCATCCATCCATCAGTTACCGTTTATTCAGTAAAGGTCTCCTTAAACCAGAGGCCTCAGAGGTGACACTCGGTCCCTCGGGGATCAAAGGGGCTGCTCCATTCAGCCGTTAAGTGGCCCTGCTGTCCTTCACACTGCCTCGGCCTGGCGGATGATGTAAAGCACGTCTCACGCCGCAAACGGCCGTCTTCAGTCTGCCTCCCTCCCTCTCTCCCACCCAGCCGACATCGCCCAGCGCTACCGCATCAGCAAGTACCCCACCCTGAAGCTCTTCCGCAACGGCATGATGATGAAGCGCGAATACCGCGGCCAGAGGTCTGTGTCGGCCATCGCCGACTTCATCCGGCAGCAGAAGGTCGACCCTGTGAAGGAGTTGCAGAGCCTGGAGGAGGCCACCAGCATTGATGTGAGAAGCCCGCGGCTCGCTGCGCTCAATTCATCCCTTCAGTGTCTGGTATACGGCGCTTAAGTAGCCTTGCATTTGTTCATGCTTGGTGCTTGATATGTCAGTGGAGCGTCCAGAATTCACATGCTGGGAAACGGGAATGGAATTGGCAGCCTGAGGGCGTTTAACATACAAAAAATATCTGCCCTCAGAAAGTAAATGTTCTGAGGACAGAACGAAAAATGATTGGTTCAGGGAGAAAAACAAACAGATTGTAGAGGGGGTGGGACCCAGACATCTGATTGTTTGGACCCACCCCCTCTACAATCTGATTGGTTATCTCTGGGAACCAATCATTTTTCCTTCTGCCCTCAGAACATTTTTGCGGAATTAAAACTCCCATGAGCAAATTGGCAGGAGCCCAGGATGCTTTCCCTTACAGAATTTGTTTTTTCTTCCAATTCTGACCTCTCACAGCGGAGTAGGAGAACCATCATAGGCTACTTTGAGAGGAAGGATTCTGAGAACTACAGCACGTTTGAGAAGGTGGCCAACATCCTACGAGATGACTGCGTCTTCCTGGCTACCTTCGGGTAACTGCTAGGTCTTCCGCCTGCCACCATCTTCTTTGGGTCGGGCCAGTGTGGTCTGATGTGATCTTGTCTTTTCCCCAGGGAAATATCGAAACCAGAGCGCTTCAGCGGAGATAACATGATCTATAAACCCATCGGGGTGAGTTCCCCAGCCTATACCGTCCCAGAACTTTTATTCTCCCATTCAGAGCAGAGAAGGCCGGTCAGAGCTCAACCAGTCAGCGCTCACGTTTGGGTAGCTTATGTAAGGATGCACCGATCCGATACTGATATCAGATATTACTCCAATACTGACACGAATAGTTGGATCAGGTAACAGTGACAATAGGGCCGATCTATGGGACCGAGGTTCAATTCCACGTTATTGCATGTTTACGTCCACATCTGCATATTAGTTCACCACAGCATGGAGGGAGCTAAAACGTCAGCAGTTTGGGAGGTAGTTCACGTTTGAAGTTGTCACCCCAACTATTTCTACGGCTGCTTCCAATATCTGCAAAGCTAATGTTTCGAGGGGGGCAGCAGCACTGCAAATTATAACACAACTAACTTATGGAGGCTTGAGTTGTATATATCTGAAATATTTAATAGTAGTAGGTTTGGGCGATACCTAATTTTTCGTAATATTCAGACATTATACAGTGGAATACGGAATTTCATTAGCATTTTGAAAAGTAACACTATTCTGTTATTTTGAAATACCCCAAGATACAGTTTCATTGAAAGGAAAGACCTCGGCCTGCTGTGTAACTGTTATGCTGCCTAAGCTCAGTTAGGAATATCAATTTTACTAATAAATTTGTTTTCGGTTCGTAAACGTGAAAATAATGCCTTCAAGTGCAAACGTACAGCTCCAAGCCATGCATTATACGTTGCAGTGATTCTTGGATAACAGGATGTTTATTGATATAGTCCCAGGTACCCAATCCAGACACACAGGTGTATTAAAACATGGCAAAGCGGCCTGAAAGCTGCATGGATCCAATGCGACAGGAACTGGCACTGATTGGGGGGCAGACGGGTAGTCGCAGGGAAGATTGTGTTAACTGTAACGGTGTTACTCCCAGGGAGTAGTACAGTGTCTGACAGACTCCCGCTCTTTGATGAGGAGAAACGCTCTGAAATGGCCCCCATCTCTCTGGTTTGAGCTCCGTCTTTCCCTCCCTGTCCACCCAGGACTGTGTTTTTTCTTTCTCATCTCTCCCTCCCTGCCCCCTTTCAGGAGAGTGTTCCTGATATGGTATACCTGGGCTCCCTCACCAACTTTGACCTGTCGCACGCCTGGGCTCAGGACAAGTGCGTGCCACTGGTGCGCGAGATCACCTTTGAGAACGGCGAGGTACGTAATGGAAGGGCGGGGTTATCGGCTGGTGACGGGCCGCCCCATTGGCCGACGCATGCACGCCGTATTGCTCATCCGCAGATCGATTTTTGTTTGCCGTGTCCTTTGGCGCTCGGAGTCCCCTCTGGAGGCGGCGGTCCCTATCGACCCGCTGCCGGTGTGCCGGTGGTATCGGCTCGCCTGCCTTTGTGGCAGCCTGGGCTGTCCTCTGATTGGGTTCTGTTCTCACAGGAGGTTTTGAACTGACATCGCGCCCCCCCCCACCCCATCCACAGCGATCAGTGTGATCTGGCCTGGAAGCCTTTCCCCCTACCACAACCCCCCCTACCCGCCTAGAGGAGAGTCAGGTCCCTTTGATGAAGTTGTATTGTTTTGTGCCTGTGGCCAGTGTGCTGGTGGTTGAGGTGGGGTTTATGAAGAGGGGGTTGGGTCATCACTGACAGTGCTGTGTGGTGTGTGTCCCCCCCACCCCACGGATAGAGAGGTGATTTAAACCGTTGTGTTAATCTGTTAGCCTGATCATTAGTGTGTGAATGTGATGTGGGGGTCACGGCTCATCCACGGCAACCTAAAGTGTACTTTTCCCACAGTGCCTTGGGGGGAGGGGTGTCCTTTTGTATACGGCGGCCAGGGGGCGCCAGTTTGCTCCCTCCGGCTTGTTTGCCCATAGCACCCACTCGGGCCTGCTCACCAGTTTTTCTGTCGCCTGGCAACAGCCAGTCCAAACACAGGCCTCCCCGGGGAGCCTGCTCGTATTTTACTCACGGTGTTTGCCGCCTGTACCTTAGCACATGGAAGGATCGTGTAGCTTCCTTATAGAACTGGCCCAGTTACAGCAGCATGGCTGTCTGCTGGCCCGTCCAGTTCACTGCATTCCTGAAATGTTATAATTGCAGTGTAGTTACAATGTATCAGTGTAGTTAGTGTGTCACAGTGTAGCTGTTTACTGCTCACAGGCCACTGTATTCCTGACACGTCGTAATTATAGTGTAGTTACAGTGCACTGCATTCCCGGCATGATGTAATTACAGTATAACTCAGTGTTGCTGTTCACTGCTCACGGTCCACTGCATTCCAGACATCTTGTAATTACAGTGTCGCTTACAGTGTAGCTGGTTACTGCTCACAGTCTACTGCAGCTATCCTTACTTACTGCCCACTGCACTCCTGATATCATAATTAGTGTAGCTGCCTCTGCTCACCCTTCAGTGTAGCCAGACCCTTGCTGTAAAGTTATCTCGTGCCTGTAATTGTACCCGGGACCTGGCACAATGTAAGTGATGTAATATGGGTGGGCGGGGCTTCTGACTGTGAAGCTGTGGAGTGTATGTTGGTAAAGTTGGGCCTGACGCTGTGACGGTGTGCGGAGATATGCTGAGGTGTCTGGGAGATGCTGCCGGTCACATTTCAGATGGGCAGGGGACAGGTTGGAGGTCAGGTACAGTGTTTCAGGGGCTTGACTGAGGTGCCAAGGGCATGAACAATGCAGCACTATTCCTGTTTGTTCAGTACAGGATTACATACTTGTAAATGGATGTATGGAGGGTTGATGGTGTTATGCGGATGCGCGCTCGCATACGAACTCACACACACGTTTGTATTCACATCTTTGTGTGGACCCTAATCCCAACAATGACACCCTTAACCCCTACCCAGCCCTAACCTCAACCACAACTAACCAAACAAAATACAAGATTTTTGCTGTCACAGGTTAAACACACAGACACACACGGTATTCCATACATATCTCTAGCTAGTGCTCCTTAGCTCATCCACTCCCCCTTCTGCCATAGGCTTAAATTAACATTCTCAAAAATTCAGAGTCATGTTTATGCGCATGAATTCCTGGTGGAATATGACCCGCATGGGGGGTGATAAAGGCTTTTAGGGCAACCCGGAGGTGCGCGTGGTGAACACTGACCGTGTTTCAGCGAACGGTACGGCCGCATCGTCTGGGGATGATGAGGGATAAAGCCGTCAGTGACATTAAGCATGTCCATGCTTATTACCCACGGACACGGTGTTTCTAAACGACTGCATATTATAGACAATTAACTGATACAGATGTAACATTCAAAGATATTTAATTATTTACCATCCGCTAAAGGATTAAGCTCAATTAATTGGAGATTAGAACATGGTCTGTTGAGGCTTTTAAGCGATTAGCCATGTGGCGATGGAGAAGCTGGTGTCGTGAGTGCCGGAGACGGACTGACCGAGGCCTTGTGGGGGTGTCTACAGGAGCTGACCGAAGAGGGGATCCCGTTCCTCATCCTGTTCCACCTGAAGGAGGACCACGAGAGCTTGGAAAGGTTTCAGCAGGAAGTGGCCCGTCAGCTGATAAGTGAAAAAGGTACCAGTGGGTGGGGGCACGGGTTTCATAATCACTAGGGGGGGGCTGCCCCAAGTATGCTCTCCAGAAGGTGGGTGCCTTTCTTGTTTTCACTCACCCCGCCATACCGGTCCAGGTTCCATCAACTTCCTCCATGCCGACTGCGACAAGTTCCGACACCCCCTGCTGCACATCCAGAAGACGCCAGCGGACTGCCCCGTCATCGCCATCGACAGCTTCCGGCACATGTACGTCTTCCCGGAGTTCAGCGACTTGACGTAAGTAGCAGCCCCCTTAAGCACCTCCTATCTCTCTTTGTCCCTCGCTTTAAAGTAAAAATCTTTAATTAAAAGCGAGATGGTGTCTGTGCCCATTGCCTGATGGGCCTCAGCCTTCGCTTAATCATGGCTCAACAACTGGCACCCCTGGGGTCTCCCTGCCCGCGCCGGGCACCTGGTGATTAAACACCAATTATGATGACCGCCGCTAACCAGGACCTGTCATCAGGCGGTCCTGCAACCTCTGGGCTCCCCTCGGAAACGACCCATTCAATTAAATCAGGTCCTTGAGCGCATAGCAGGTGCGTCTTCGGGTAGAGGAAAATTAGGAATGCGGGGGGGGGGAGGTGGGGAGGGCACAGATTACTTATTTCTTAATCACTCACTTTGTACAAATGACAGTGCTTGAGATGCTGCGTGTCATCAGTACTCCTACATTTCCTGGGTTCGTTCTTGCTAATTGTCAGCCATTATTGCAGGCAGGGGGAGGCAGTCGTGTCCTGACTGAGATCCGAAACTCACAGGTCTGCAGCTACTTCAGTTCTGATGAAAGTGGTGTGACCGACCTGTTAGCAACGACCAAATAAATTCATCAGTTTCTTCTCTGCTCGGTTGGTGATGCTGCTTCATCACTGCACTGTCACCGAACCCTTTAAAATCTGCCCTCCTTCTCCATGTTGCATTTAAAAACCACCTTTACTTCTCAAGGGACAGCCATCAGCCTTTGTGACTGCATGTTGGTGTCACAGGGAAGAAGTTTCTAGTGAGGGCTGTTTAATTCTGCTTGTGGGAACCCTGGTTTGGTAGAATTAACTGGAACTCTAACTCGCTGAAATAGGCGCACCTCGGCCAATCACAGTGGAAGTGAGTCAGGCCACCTAACCCAACAGCAAACCCAGTCCTTGAAACATCGTGGATCGAAGAACAAAGAAGGTTGTACGATGGAGAAGTTGTGCAGATGAATATTCAAGCGTGGGCAGGGAGGCAGCCGGGGGGGGGGGTGATCGGGTGAAGAGAAATGACGGCGCCGTATTGATGCCATTGGGCCGTGTTAGACTTCCCACATCACCCATTTTCACAGCGCTTTGCTGCTGGGGGGGGGGGGGGGGGGGGAATCGCCACGGCAGCAGTGAAACAAGGTTCTGTACGAATTGCGACAGCGAGCCATTGTTCCTCCCAGCCGACACTGGCTGACAGCTTTGTGCCCTGTGGGCCCCCCAGGCAGGTGAGGTGGATCAGGAGAAGCCCCTCTCCCCCACAGCAGCATCTCTTTGGTGATTATACACTCGCCTGACAGGTTATAGATAAAACAGATCGGTGAGTGCTGGCCGCTGACAGCCAGATGATTTTGTTAACGTGTGTGTGTGTGTGTGTGTTCGGGGGTTGTGCTGCAGTACAGATCGATCGTTTCCTTTTGTGTTTATCTGCGGAACGGCGGCAGGTGCCGCTGCTCCTCTGAGCCGCCGTGTTGAGACCCGTGGGCAGGTGTCCCGTTCGTCTCTGCTGCCAGGTTCCGATTCCCCTGCATCATCTCTGCAGGGTTCCGGGCAAGTTGCGGCAGTTCGTCCTGGACCTGCACTCGGGGAAACTGCACCGGGAGTTCCACCACGGCCCAGACCCCACCGACACCACCCCCGGACAGGTGGGTGACCCCGTCTCCCTGGTAACCTAGGCACCAGTTCCCATTGAGAGCAAGGTTCACTAAGGGGGCACAATGGCTTCTTCCTGTTTTCAGGAGGACAGCAGAGTGGTACAGAGCAGCCCCCCCGAGAGCTCCTTTCAGAAGCTGGCTCCCAGTGAAACCCGCTACACTTTCGCCAGGGACCGGGATGAGCTGTAGCCTTCCTGTGGACACTGGGACGGATGGACCGGCGGGAAGGAGGTCTCACCACAGCGGGAAAGGGGAACCGTCCCCGCCAGGGAAGGAAAGGGCCCTCTAAGCACATCACAGCAACGGGAATAACCTATATTTTCATAACTCTTGTGTGTACAATTTTTATTTTGGATAATGAGGAAGAAACAAAAACTTCTGGGGCGAGGGCAGAGGAATAAGGCCAAAAAAAAAGAGAAACCATTTTTACTTTTATTTTTTTGAGCTTGTAAATATGTCTACGCGGTGGGTCAGTTTCTAAGCGATCATCATCTAAATGAAATGTCACTTTTTTTTCCCCCCCCCCCCTCCTTCCCCATTTTTTCCCTCCCCCGTGTACCATCACATTTTTGTAAATTAGGAAAAAAATAATGGAGCGGGAGGAGACTGGGTCTGGGGGGGTTGGTCTTCTGGAGACAGTAGGAAGGTCATGCCCACAGAAAAGCTTCTCAGCCCATAGCAGGTCTGGTTCTGTGGTTGGGAGGAGGGAGGGGGGTGGGTGGGACTGGGGGATATTCCATGTTGTCTGAACTGACTGAGGGCCTGTACTTTTAATCTGTATTTATACACCTAAACTTCCTAAAGAAGCAGAGTGTAGCGTCGTGACTGATTACGGTTACACAGGAGGGGCGGGGCAGGACAGGGTGGGGGTGGCGGGGGAAAAATGTCATCTTGGCGGGGGAGGGGGTCTCTAAAACACAAGAAGGTAAATTAAAACATTTTACAAGACCTGGCTCCCGTGTCTTCATTCTCCCCCCCAGACCGTGTGACATGGAGCCCGTGGTCCGTAAGCTTTTGGGTTCCTCGGACACGAGGACCGATGCTTGCGGGAGCTGACATAAGTGATCCGGGGGATTAATGGCCTGCTGTCTAGATAGGGGGTGCTAGATGATTCCGTGTCAGGGAAGCGGCTGTGATGCACGGTGGCGGTTTGAGCACTTTAGGTGCCCCCTAACCCGGCATTGTCCACTCCTCGGCTGGTTCCTAGGAGGCCCTGGATGGGCTTGTGGCTTTTTTTAGCCGCCGACATTTTCCCCATCCGTGCTGCGACGCCCACACCCCCCCTCTCCGCTGGGGGTTTTCTGGAGACCCAACATCACCCAGAAGTTGAAAAGAAAAAAAAAAAAAAAGGTCATGCTCCGCCCACACAGGCGGCCCTGCCCATTGGGCGTGCGTGTCGTACCCGGGAGGCCACGCTTTCCATCCCCTCGTCGCCTCCTGGTGGAAACTCCAAGCCATGCGCTGGGGTTTCCCCTTGCGTCGAGACAGGCTGGCTGGCTGGCTGGCTGTCCAGCCCACTCTCTGGCGCTGACGCGTCTCTGCGAGAGACCGGTGGCTGCGCCCTCATGCCCCACACAGGGCGACGCGTGGCACTCCACCGCGGCTACTCTCATACCTCCATCCGCCGCATACAGGGGTATGCGGTCTCACCAGAGAAATAAACATCCTGGCCGGTGCGCAGAGACACGACAAACACAAGGCCACTCCTGGCTTTGGCAAAGAGTCTGTTTATTTTTGGCAGTTATGACAAAACAGCGACGGTCCACATGCTACGCCATCGGCAGCGCGGTGTAGACCGAATCCTATGCGATAAGGGAATGCTGCAGCGCGGTGTAGACCGAATCCTATGCGATAAGGGAATGCTGCAGCGCGGTGTAGACCGAATCCTATGCGATAAGGGAATGCTGCAGCGTGGTGTAGACAGAATCCTATGCGATAAGGGAATGCTGCAGCGTGGTGTAGACAGAATCCTATGCGATAAGGGAATGCTGCAGCCTGTCCGGCGGTAGCTCCCAGATGAACGGTCAAAAAAAAAAAAAACATTTAAAACAATAATGAGGACAACTTGATGTCAGTCAGTCGCAGTGAGACAGGAAAACACACCTCGGGCTGCAAATATGAGCTGCAGTGCTATCTGGCTGTGGTGTGACATCACGGGCACTTGTGCCACGTGTGGAAATAACCACATGAAGGTGCCAGGAAGATGAAAGGGCCAGACACACTACACAAAAGTAAGTAACTTTGTCACACGTCGAACCAGTAGTCGGAATCGATATGAATGAATTGGGGGTGGGGGTGGGGGGGGGGGGGGGTTGGCTGGGTGTGCTGGAGATCGACGTCTGGGCCCCCCCCTCCCTGCCCTGCGCTCTCATGCTCACTCTCATTGGCCAGTCCAGAGAATCACGCTTCTGCTGCTTCCCGTCCTTTGAACGTGTGCGAGCGAAGGGGCCGGTTTTGCTCACTGGATGCGCACGAGGCCTCTTCAAATGGCACCTACTGGTCTGGTGGAAACGGAAGAGGAGGCTGTGACCCCTGTTCACATCATGCTTTTAATGACACTTTCACCCCATACTGCCGACTGGGTCCATGACCGAAAAGTGCCGGAGGTATGAGGTACCAAGGAAACGGCTGCAGGGATGGAGGACTGTCACTCAGTACAGGCACGGCTGAAGCCCCGGTCCACTCCCTTGCACTAGTGTATTGCTGTATATCACTTAAATTACATTCAGTCCTTTCAAGACTTAAAAAAAAAAAATCACAATTCTTCTGGCACTTCTTAAATCAATCCCAATGCAGCTCCTCAAAGAATTTGAGCTCCAGTCTGTGATTGGAAGCAGATTGGCTGTAACCTGATGGGCTCTTTAGCCTGGCTTTGGCCCCTCCCACAAGCGTACAAGGCTATACCCAGCATGGAGCATGCCGTAAGCCCTGTCCAGGCTGTCAAACAGCGTATGTGGGAGGACATGAGCAGGCCGGGAGACCGCGGGGGTCAGTCCTTCTTGCAGCCCCCTCCTGCGCCAGAGACCTTCTGCAGCTCCAGGTCCACCTTGGCCCGCTGGGTGCGCTGAGCGAGGCTCCCCCCGGCGAAGCCGAGGAGGCCCCCGCCAACGGCGGCTGCCACCCCCACGGCCTTGAAGCCCGCCAGCAGCCCCAGAGGGCCGCCCACCACCCCGCCCAGCAGGGCCCCCGCCAGCGGCAGCACTGCCATCTTGTACTTTGCGGCCTGGGGAGCAGGAGAAAGAGAACCGTCAGCGTCCCGTCCGGAGAACGTGGCTGAGTGAAGGTCGTCCTCGCACACGCTCGCGGCGCCGAACAGCCAGGCACAGAGAAGGCCCCAATAAAGCAAGAGACTCCAGCCCCCCCTTCTGGTGGGATGGGGGGGGGTAATTCTAATCAGTGCAATTCAAAAAAACCAAAGAGATCAGATCTGCCTCAAACACCACATTCCCGGGGAGCAAATTGGGAAGAAGAGGAGGAAGAGGAGGAGGCCGAAAAGTCCTCTAAACATTCTCAGGGCAGTGACGAGCCCCCCGGGCCCAGCCCCTGAATGGCACAAACTGATTAGCAGTCAACTTTGAAATGAACACCTTTCAAACGGGCTTTGGGTTTTTTTGGTGAATTTTAATTTGAGAGATGGCACACGGCACACGGGCGGCCCGCTGCGGTAAACACGCCGGTCAGATGGCTGATAGCGGCCGCTTCAAACGCCGTTTTGAGAAGCTGCTCATTTATGACGCTCTTCTGATCTCCCCTATCTTCTGAAATGAGAAGTTGCTTGTTTTTCTCTCTCCACCCGCACTGCTGTTTACAGACAAATTAATTAGCGGCAGCCCCAGACAGTGCAAATGGATGGGGGGGGGGGCGCTTTCTTCTCCAGCACCATCCAGGGAGTTTAATTGCTGCCCCCTCCAGGGCGGTGCGACCTTCTTCTCATTGATTTTGACACATAAATGCTGAAGCACAAGTCGGCCCAGAACTTCAACGCAGCTTTGTGAACGTACTGCTCTATGAGCCTGACCCACCTCAGTCCGGGTTTACTATCCAGACCCCATCTACAGAACCTTGCCAGGACATCAACCAAACTCTGGTAATGTGTCAGCAGAAGCCTAGCAGGACATCTACTGAACGTCACTTTGGACAAAAGTGACTGCGAAATAGGTAATTAAGTAAAGGCCTGGCAAGATATCTACAGAACCATGCAAAACCCTAGTATGATATCTGCAGAACTGGACAGAAGAATATCGGCAGGCCGCTTGCGAGACATGAATGCCGATAAAACATCCGCAGGACACTAGCTTGAGATGAACCGCTTTGCATTTGACAAACAATCACTCCTTCCTTACAGTACAAGTCGATTCAGGTGGGGGCAGTTAGACAATCAGCCCACGTTGTACTTTTAAATGAACTTTTAAATCTCTTTCGTATCACCAGAACATTAACTATCAGACTGTGAAACACAGGGCCGCAGACTGAGGTGCAGCAAGGGCCCCTTACCAGGGCCCGTTCCCAGCCTCTGCTGTGCTAATCGCGGCCCGGAATATCCTCCAATCACGCCGGTTCTGCTTTCCCACGAGCCCTTTAACCTGATCCAGTCTGTCCCACCTGCTCCTCTCCACAGATCTTCCCGGATCACCGGTGACCCTGTCTGAGCTCTTAGGATCCCTCACTACCGGCGATTCAGACGAGATGCCCCTCTCAGGCCCGGCCGGACTCCCTTCCCGCCACACTGCATTTCAGGTGCCGAGCCACCCGTGAGGGTGCCTATACGGCTCTAAATTAGCATATTTTTTGTTTTACTTGCAAGCCGGTCTATTTTTCAGCATGAAAGAGCACCCAGCTGGAGCACAAACACGCCTCGCCGAGGACCGTCGCGGAGCCAGGAATTGATGTGTCCCTTCAGCGCGCTCAACACTTCCCCACATTGACTCGCCGCAAGAGACCATCACAACACCCATTGATTTTTCCCTTTCACTCTGCTTTCACCATCCCACCCCCCTCCGCCC